AGTCGACTCAAATCTCGTTTGTACCAGCCAAGCCTCAAAAATGAGAATTGACCGAACCCCGATCTAGTCTGCAAGCTGCACGAGCTCAAATACGGGTCGTTCATATGTGTGCTCATGTGGCTCGCCTTGCATAAATAATTGTTTTAGTTTGTAGATTAATGCCTTCTTAATTTGTAAAATTCAACGGCTTGCATAATTAATTTTATAGTTTTTAAATTACTTTTGAATTAACGACAAGATTTTCTTACATTCAAGTAAAAAATAATTAAAAAATTTAAAAAGCCCGTTAGTCGGCTCGACTCAATCCAACTTAGCTTGACAAAGGCCTTAGCCAAAGCCTGGGCTCGACTCGAACCCAAAAAGCTTGAATCTTTTTTGTTTTTGTTTTTTTAACGAGTCGATACCTAGCCTCGAGCTTGGGCGTTCGAGTCGACTTAGGGATGTCAACGAGCTAAACCCGAGACTAAAACTTTCGGCTCGTTTTTACGAGCCTGAGTTTTTGCTCAGCCAAAAAATTTTGGCTCGACCCAAGCTCAATTTTTTTTAATTGCCTTTTCTGCCTCTTTTTTTTTTTTTTTTAATTAAAGGCTCACGGGCCGGTTCCGGCTCGGCCACTCCGAGCCACGCGTGCCAAACCTTTTTGACACTGCTAAGTCGAGTCGACTCATCACTAACTTTAGGTGTTCAAATCATAGTGAAGCCAGGTCAAGTTGTCTGACAAACTGGCCCTCTGAGTTGATAAGCAACCTGAGCTCATTGTCATCCCCATTGAATGGGAGGATGAATTACAAAACCAAATATAACATGGGGTTTGGGTTGGGTTTTGGCCACTTACAAAGTTGGAACATGATTAGTCAATAGTGAATGGACTGAGTAAATTTGGAGGGCGAGACGGGAAAATTAATGTGGAAATTGCATGTTTTTCATCTTCCAAGTTCAAAAATCACGTTTAAGAATTATTTATATAAAAATCAGATTATAATTTATTCTTAGTATTAATATTATTAAATTAATTACACCACCCATAGGGGTGAACACGGTTCGGTTTGCTATATTTTCAACTTAAACTATTTTATGCGGTTTGAAATTTTTTCAAACCAAACCAAACCATAATTTGTTATTTGGTTTGATTTTAATCTGCGGTTTACCTTTCGATATTATAGTAATGTATTTAACATAAGTTAAATATAAGTTTAAACGAGAACTAATAATGTTAAATGTTAAATTATATTCATAAAATTTCAAAGTTGGTTGCTAAAAGATATTAATATAACAAATACATCTTTCTTCATTTTTATTTACCTTTTCTTGTTTGACTTCATAGTCATATACCAGTGGATAAATGTAGAATTATATTCTGTTATTATAGTTTGGTTAAAACTCTTTTCGTCTTGCTAGTGAGATGTTAAATAAGGATTGAATAAAATATGTTTAAATGTACAGAGATTGATAAAATTTCGACTTATTGGGAATTGACGAATGTCATCTTTTAACTACTTTATGAAAGTATAAAATAATAGTACTAGTTAGAAAATTTTAACATTTTCACACAATCAATATGTCCTGTCCTTCTTTCTTTCCAGATCACAAACAAGTTTATTAATCATCTAGGCACACAAACAATCATTTTTCTATCCAAATCACAACTCACAAGTGTATAATAAGTTCAAAAATAAAAAAATAAAAGAAAGAACAATGAAAAAATTGTTTGAATAATAATCTAAGACTTACTGAAAGAGAAGAGAGAAAGGGGTGATTCAGGTAGAGATTAATAGACTAACAAAAAAAAGGCGATTGATGATTCGTTCAGCAGTAGCAGACAACTATCAAATGTTAGGGAAATGAGAGTTTATATTAGGGCTTTTGAAACTTTAGACGTGATTTATTGACGTAGTTTTGTTGAATATGATTATATATATATATATATATAGATATTAGGTGAGAACGTGTGTTGTGAACCTGTTAAATCATAGGTCAATAATGATGAAGCTAATTTACTTTGTATGATTATTTCAATAGATTGGTTGAAATTTGTATTTTTTTTTTAAAAAAGTGAAAATTGTAAAAAAAATTTTAAGTTAATACAATTAATATTTTAATTAAAAATTTTTAAAATGGTTTGGTACGATTTTGTGCAGTTCTTGAAAATCAAAATCTAAACTAAACCATTTTGAAACGGTTTAGTTCGGTTTGAGGGAAAAGAAACCACGATTCCATGTGGACCTAAACCAACGATTTCAACTCAACAGTTTCGGTTCGGTTTGAGGTTTTGCAATTTTTTTGTGCAGCCCTAACCACCAACCCTAACAAACCCTAATTCATTTCACATGATCTATAGTGCTGCTTCATTTCACAAGCCTAGGTCGTCACCTACTTCTGCACAAAGCAGCATTAAAGCGCTCCCCACTGCACGTACGAAGCAAAAGTGATGCATGCCCATCATTGCTTCTTCGTGTGCAGCTACTTCATCAATTGCCGCTGCACATGAAGTAGAGATGATGTGTGTGCATTGTTGCTACTTCGTGTGCAGCGACGTCTCACTTCCTACAAGGACGATGAGTGAGCTCCGCATCCTATCCCCGTTTTCTCTTCATCTATTTGTATGGTGTTGATGGTTGTAGTGTGGTGTGGTGGAGGTGAAGAAAATGGTGGATTTGAGGAGGTGGTGGTGTTGATTGTGGATATAGGTAGTGGTAATGGTATGGTATTGGTGGTGGCTACAAGTTTGGGGATTTTTTTGGTGTAGGTGGTGGTTGTGGTGCTGTGGTAGGTTGCGATCATGGTGCGACAAGTGGTGATGGTGGTGCTATAGGTGGTTGGTGTCAGGGAGGTATTAGTTTTGGTTGTTGGAATGGTGGTGGCGGCTTCCATATTTTGGTGGTATTGGTGCTGGACGTTGAGGTGCGGTAGCCGTGGCGATGGCGATGGCGATGGACGGTGGTGGTGGTCTTAGCAGTACCAGTGGGTATGGTGGTTGTGGTTAGGGGTGTTTGTGACAAATAATATGTGACCAATTATTTGATATTGTGTATTTTTTTATCGATAAATAATATGTAATCAATAATTTGTTATCAATAAATAATATGTGACCTACAAATTTAAGTTGTGACTTATAAATTTTTAAATTTGTGATCGATGAATAAATTGTGATACATAAAATTTTTGATTCGTGACCAAGAAATAATTTGAGGAATTAATTCTATAATTTGTGATCAAATAGTATAGAATTGTGACCTTACTATATTTAATTAATATATATTTAATTACTTATTTTATAAATAAAATTTAATTAATATTTGATTTTTTTGAAGTTTTAAACCTTGTTTTTTAATTTTGAAATATATCATGCTTAATCTCTACAATCACCCAAACCAATTGACTCGGATCGATTTGAGCTGGTTTTTGAACGTCAATGATTTGAGTCAATCAGATAAAGTTATAAATTTGTTCAGTTGGTTCAAGTTGTTATTTCAATCAATCGATCCAACTAAAAAATTGTAAATTATTATTTTTTAAATAATCATTTAAACATAAATCAAAATCCTAAAAACACAAAGGGATAAAATAGAAATGAAACCTAATTTCATCTCTCACCCTATAATAATAAAATGTATATCTTCAATGTTTTAAATCCTGACTCGAGTACGATCGAAAAACAGAAAATGATCAAGTGCTAAGGGTCAAATTTAGGTCGAGCCCAATATCAAATTAAATAAATAAATACACACATAATTACAAAATATTATAATAGTAATAATTTTTTTAAAAAAAATAATTTTAGTTTACTAGTTCAAAGTAAATATAAATTTATGTTTGTTAATTAGATTTATAGTCCTAAATCATTTTAAAACTTCAAAAACTAACAATTAATTTGTAAAAATTTATTTGGTTTGTTCAAAATAAAATTGTTTGTGCTTATGGTCTTGTTGGGGCCAAAATTTGTTAACAAAGATAATGAGGTAAGCTATTAAGTATTTAAAATTGGCAATTGGCTGCAGCTTTTATTCCTTGTTGGAGGATCAATAAAATTTGTCAACGAGGAGTCGTTTTAAAGGTTTAGCACTTGGAAGGAAACTTGAAATAATCTTGCTAGTGCAGTACACTATACACGAATCAATCAAGACAGTTGAAATTAACCAGGAATATCGTATTCGATCTTTTCAGTCAATGGTTAAATTGGTTGGTTTAATGGTTTATTCATTGATTTTTCTTTTTCCGATTAATATGTTATGATGGACCAGATTTGAGGTCGGTTCTTGATATTCCTGGTTGGACCAACTGATCTTATTCGGTTTTCTTACATTGTATATCTTATACAAATAAGTAGGCACCTTTTTCTATTTTAATTTTTAATTCTAATTTGGGCCCAATCCCAAATTGTCATAACCAAACTGTCTCGATCGGTTTTGATTTCAAATTGGTCCAAAATCGATTTGGAGGACTACTTTGAGTCCATGACCTGTTATGCTTTCAGCTGAAAAATCGGGCCCAATAAAATCTCCTACAAGTATGGGGTGGCCGTTTTTATTGACATGTTTGACAAAATTCTTATTCAAGTTCTGCCTCTTTTACCCCTCCATATAAGTCGATGCTTGTGTTGTAGTCTGAAAAAATCTTCCAAATCCCATTCTCAACTACTTGAGTCCAAATAAAGGTGGATGTGTTATGAAATGTAACACTTCTTCAACTTGAAATGTACTAAAATAGAGTTGACGATGGATAAAACTCGTCATGTCACATCGATTATAATTTTATTTTATTTTATTTATTTATTTATTTATTTTTTGGTGGAATTGAAATTATTCTTTGGTGATAAGTCTAGGCCAGATTCTTGTACGTGAAAATTTCACCACATAACTAAATATATAAAAAATTTCCTTTTTACATTTCAATTATATTTTCACCAAATATACTACAATATATAAAGTATATTTAAAAAAGTAAAAGTTCAATCATTTCAATATTTAATTTAGTTAAAGCTTAAATTTATCCACCAAACAAGCCATTTAATACACCCCCAAATCACGCCCACAGTAAATCGCTCTTCTTCTTTACCAATTGTACCTATGAAAAGCAAAATTTCTCAAATCAAAACTACAGAATTCTTTAGTAACCTGCCATTGCATCCTCGAATCTATCTCAACCTCTAGTCCCCCTCATTTTCAATCCCAAAAATCATCTATTCCAACAGCAATACCGTCATTGTGGTCTCAATATACCTCCCTATATGAAGCCTAATGGACTACGTTAAAATCACAAATCCAAGTCCGAAATAAAGCTTCTCTGCAACATAGAATCCATTAGCTGATACTGAAAATGGAGGATGACATCAACAATTTCATCCAAAGACAACAGGTGGAAAAAGGAATATGGATACAGTAGTTCTGGATTTGAGTTCGCGGAAGAAAAATGGTCCATCACTGTCAAGCAAAGGTATCTGAATATTACTTGTTTTAATTTATTGTTATTTTCACATACATGGGCTGTAGTATAATCATAAAAATGCATAAATTTGTTTGCAATATTTCAATCCTAAATGAAATACTTTCCTTTGTTTGCAGTATAATTATGATTAACGCCCAGATTTCTTTGCAATATTATGAATGACATATGAAATACGCACTTTTGTTTTATGGAATGATATTTTGTATCCATTACATAACACGTAGATCAGTGATTTTAGAATGTGGGTTGTATATTATTCAAGATCTATAATCTACTTACCTAACTTAATTTTTAAACTACTGCATCTGGTCTTCAAGCACGTTATAGGACATATATGTATGTATGTTACAAATGTCACTCTTAGTATATCATGTGATGTTTCTGTGGTTTGTAATATACTAGAATCTTGCTTGTAGGTTTGAGGATCTTCGATGCTCGATTTGGGGAATTTGGGCCTCTTAAGGACATTTGTCTCCTGCACAATATTACATTGGTGAGTAATCTCTGTTGTGCAAACCTCTACTGCAATGTCACGATTACTTAAAATTGGATTGAATTTAAATTGGTTAAGGTAACTGTCATGATAGTGTGTTATCATACACATTGTGTTAACTTTCCTTGTTTGTTAACAAAAGGACAAATCAAACTCTATGTAGATGTCATTCTTTATAACTATATTGTAACAAGTATATCTTGTATGTGTTTATTTAACATCACAATGTGTTATCATACACATTCTGTCAAATTTCCTTTTTTTGTGCAATATATGATAACATGATTAATTACATTTGCACTATTTGGTTTTTGTAACAGTATAAAGCACGAGTCATGGGATCTTACGCTAACTAGATAACATGTATTGTGTGATACCTCGCTTGACATAGTTGTTGTGTGCGTAAGGTAATATCTAGCTTTACAATGGTTGATGTTTATATATTAAATTATTTATCATTTGTTGTCTTCTATGTCTTTTAAATGTTAGTCGATTTTATAAGGTGTATCATTGGGTGTCATGTTTCCTCCAATATCCAGATGACAACGAAGGGGGCTTAAAAGGCAAAGGATACTATCAAAGCAAGAGTCCAATTAAGAAACAAGATGTACAAGATGCAAGGAGTACAACCATAATAGAAAGATGTGTAAGCACTCACTACCACTGAATCAAATACGAAAGAGGAAAAGAAGTTTGTAAAGTATCAAACATGTTGATAAGACGTTACAGATGCTGGACTAGAGATGGTTGGATTTCTATTTTAATTTCTAAGGAGAAAAATTTCATACCACCTAGTGTATTCCATAATGAATACTTATTGTTAATGGTTTGTTTTGTTTTGTTTTTTGTTTTTTGTTTTTGTTTGAAATGCATGTTTACAAAGATGGGGACAAGATCAATATGATTTTTGGTAAATTTCATGTAGACATAAATATTTAACAAAATTTGTAGTATGATAGATATTAATATTACAGTCACAATACTTGTTAATACTAGATGAACATTGAACAATGAATCAAATAATCCACAATGATCTTCATGATAATGGAAGACGTATCATCATCGCATTCTCATGAGAAATAAGTGGAAACCTTGCATATTGATTTCTACAAAGTATTATTCATTTCAAAATTCTAAAAAAGTAAAAGCCAAAATTACTAATCAATTTCAATATGATGTGATCCTTAAATTCACTAATTATTATACAAGAGATGATTTATGATCACAACAATATGTAAACAATGAAATATATTGAAAAATTCCATTATGATCAAGATATCAGAAATTATATTGTGCGCCAAAAATCACGGGAAAATGAATGTATAAAATGAGTAAATTTTCATAGTTTATAAAAAAATCATATGACGTGTCTTAATATCGAGAATTACAAATATTATGTCAAAAAAATCTGGTGAAGTCCATGACATTGCAGATAATCAAACCATCGCAAGGTTTCATTTTTAGTAAGTTTGAATTTCCTTGATTTTTCCTATCAATCTACTAATCAAGGGATTCATTTATTAATATGCAAATTCATGGCTATTGCCATGTTTCAATTACAAAAAATTAGCGAAATTTAATGTGATAGTAATTTTTATTTAATTTGCTATAACACCTAGTACTTAGAGTATATATAATTAGTGGGTAGTATTTTATGAATTATTTTATTTTTCTTGGTTAGATGTGATTTTTTCCCTAAGGACAAAATGGATCTAAAGGATTCAAATTTGGACCTGATATTTGGTAGGTTTAATGACCAAGCTTTTCATAATATAATTTCAAAAATAATAAGTTTGTGGGAAAATTTAAAAAAATCAGAGTCACATTTTGTGATCATTGATAAAGTATTATGATCTATAATTTCATCAAATAGAGCATGGTCAAATACACGAATTCTATGATCACGATCACATATTAATCATAAATTATACAAGATCAAGATCACAAAAATATAATTTATGGGACACAATTACAAATTTAGTTGAAAATCACAAATTTAACAGCCCGTAAATTATTTATAAGTCAAAAATTACATAATAACTGACCACAAACACTATTCACCCAACCCCACCACACATCACTCAACCACCATCGACACTACCTAATCATCGTCACAACCTTCACCCAAATCTACAACCACCACCACTAGTCTACCTCAAATCCACAACTACCTCTACAATCAACATGCCATAACCATCACCTCTACCTCAAATCCACCACCATCGTCACAATCAACAAACTATTATTGCCTCAAATCAACAACCACCATAATGGTCGTATTCCTCGTTTCATCATAAATCTACAGTCACTTCACAACATCTCGCCTAAGATTTTACACGCACCGTGAGACATCAATTCATCCCCATTCTAATTATAGTTCAATTCGTGAAGGCTTATGGTTGGAGTAGTGACAAAATAGAGTAGATACGCCATGGGTGTATCCCATTGATGACGCTAGATTATGTTATGGTTGTGCTTCAAATCTCAACCTAGGACGCAATCAAACACAATAATAAACCATAAATTAAATAAAACTCAACACTCAATGGATTAATTGAACCTACTGATGTTTATACTATGAAATGAGAACAATACACTAGATAAGAAAGGAAAAAAGAAAGAGGGAGAGATAATCCTTGAGAGAAATTACGCATACCAACCTCTCTTTCCCCCAAAATCATGCATCCATTTAAGATTTTAGACTCAAAAATAAAAACGACAACGTTTCTCATTTAACCAAACGACACCATTTGTGGATTCTAAAGTTGGCCATTGGAACTTCGTCTTCTTCCTTCTTCCTTGGTCTAGTACTTCTCTTCCCTTTTTCTTCCCAGCCCGATTGTTCCTTTCCCTTCCTACCATCACCACAACATCCCTCTCCATTCAAATAACCTTATCCCGAAGATTGAAAATTTGGGAAAAAAGCCTTTATTTCATTTGCTCTCGCCCACATAGCATCATCAGCATTGAAACCTTCCCAATGAACTAGCCATTAAGAAATGGCTTTGCTATTTTAGTTTGATCATCCTTGTAGATAGAACTTGTAGTGGTTGAATGTGTGTCCCTTGCCCCTATAAAATTCCGACAGTGCACCAGTTGGAACTTCTTTCTCCCCAATTTTCTTTTTCAGTAGAGAAACACGAAAAATGGGGTGGACTTGAGATGCAACAAGTAACTCTAGTTTATAGGCTACCTTCCCAAACTTTTGCACTACCTTGTAAAGGCCATAATACTTTGCAGATAGCTTTTTGTTGGGTCTCCTTGTTACAGTTTACTGACCATATGGATAAAGCTTTAAATATACCCAATCCCCAACTTGGAATTCCCTTTCACTTCTATGTTGATTTGCATAATACTTCATCTTGGCACTGACTTGGGCAAGGTTTTCTTTTAGCATTTTATTTATCTTCTGCCTTTTTTGCAAAATATCTTCAACTGAAGCAATGTTAGTCTGCTGATAGGGCCTCAAGGCTAGTTGTAAAGGTTTGATACCATATAAGGCTTCAAAAGATGTCATTCGAATGGAGGTATGCAGGGTAGTACTGTACCACCATTCAGCTAGGCTAATCCACTTAATCCATTGTTTTGGTTACTTGTAAACCATGCATCTTAGGTACATTTCAAGGCATTGGTTTAGTCTTTCTATCTGCCCATTAGTTTGTGGGTGGTAGGATGTGCTTAACTACAATTTAATCCTCAGGTGTTTGAACAATACCTGATAAAACTCATTTGTAAATATCTTATCTCTGTCCGTAACAATGTTTTGAGGCATTCCATGCAACTTGTAGATGTTTTCCAGGAATAACTTGGCGATGGTTGGGGCTGTGAATGGATGTGAGAGAGTTAAGAAATGAGCATATTTGGTGAACTGGTCCACCACCACCAATATCACATTCTTTGATCCAGAAGTAAGTAGCCTTTCAATGAAATCCATGGAAATGTGGCTCCAAGCATATTGTCGTATTGGTAGGGATTGAATTAATCCTAGGTAAGTTACATGTTCCCCTTTACACCTTTGGTACTTGTCACACTCCAACACCTTTTGTTTTATATCCCTGTTTATCCTAGGCCAGATGAAGAATTACTTAGCCCTATGTATACTTGCCTATAATCCTGAGTGCCCCCTTTCTGGGATGAGTGTATGGTTGCAATCAACTTCTTCCTTACTCCTCCCCTAATACCAATATACATTCTTGACTTGTATTTGAGAAGTCCATTCATGTACCGATAATCTTGCTCAATGTCTTTAGAGAGTAGCACAATAGTGATTTTACCTTCTGCGTCTTATCTTCTTTATAGCTAGCTATTACTTCTTCAACCCACATTGAAGTGACCTCAGTGATTGCCAAGCATTCAGCCGCCTTTTCTTCTCTCCTGGACAAGGCATCTGCCATCTGTTATCAACACCCTTTTTATAATGTATTTCATAACTCAGTCCCAAGAGTTTAGATAGCCACTTCTACTATAATGGAGTAGTGATCCTTTGCTCAAGTAAGGACTTGAGTGACTAATGATCTATCTTAATGATAAAGTGGTGACCTTCTAAACAGTACCTCCACTCTCCTACCGCAGTCACCAGAGTTAACAGTTCATTCTCATAAATTGATAACCCTAAATTCCTGCTGCTATTTCCTTTACTTAGGTATGCTATTGGCCTCTTGTTCTGCATTAGCATTGCACCTAACCCCGCATAGCATGCATCTATTTCCACAATGAACGGGATAGAGAAATATGGTAAAGCCAGTACTAGGGTAGTACTCATAGCATGCTTTAATTCTTGAAAAGCTGATTCAGCAACCTCCCCCAATAGAAGTTCTCCTTCTTTAGTAATTCAATTAGTGGCTTTGCTATGGCTCCATATCCCCTTACGAACCTTGTGTAATACCGAGTTAAGCCAAGGAATCCTCTTAACTATTTAACATTGGCTGGCTTAGGCCATTCCTGCATTGCCACTATCTTAGAGGGATCTGCTGACACTCCCTCTGCGGATATAATGTGGCCTAAGTACTCTATGATATATTGGCTAAAAGAGCACTTGTTCCTCTTAGCATACAATTGGTGCTAATTTAAAAGTTCCAAGACAACAGTAACATGTTTACAATGTTTCTTCAAGTTTGGGCTGTATACCAGTATATTATAAAATAAAATAAAATAAAACAAAGATGTACTACATAAGTGCTGCTTGAATACTTCGTTCATTAGGCATTGAAAAGTGGCAGGGGCAGGGGCATTTGTAAGCCCAAATAGCATGACCCTAAATTCATAAAGACCCTCATAGGTCTTAAAAGTTATCTTGTGGACATCTTTTTCAGCCACCCTGATTTGATGGTATCCTGCTCTTAGGTCGATTTTTGTAAACCGCTTTGCCCCTTTAAGTTCATCCAACAATTCATCAATTAAGGACATAGGGTACTTGTCCTTGACCATGAGGGTATTCAACTATTTATGATCAAGACAAAATCTCCATATCCCATCTTTCTTCATGACCAATAACACGGGTGAGGCATAAGGGCTGTTGTTTGGTTGTATTATACCACTTTTTCTCATCTTCCTAACCATCCTTTCAATCTCTGCTTTCTGAATGTATGGGTACTTATAAGGCCTGATTTTAAAGGGCTGAGCCCTTTCTTTCAATGGAAGATGATGGTTATTGAACCTAGATGGTGATAAACATTTAGGTTCTAAGAAAACCATGGAAAATTGATCTACAGTAGCCTTAAGTTCAATAGGGATGACCTCTGTCTCTTTCTTAGTGATGGCTGTGATTTGTGCCACCACTCCATACTCTTGGTTCTTGAACCAACATCCCTCCCCAGTATCTCATCATATGGAATTCCTTCTTAATGACTTCACCGGAGTTCCATCTCTATACCTTTATAGGTAAAGGTAATGTTGCCTCTCAGAAAATCAAATAACACAGGGTTGAACTGACTTAGCCAATCCACCTCCAAGACCATATCATTGCCTCCTAATTTCAATATCCTTAACTGGTATTGGAATTCTAGATCTTGCATCTTCCATATCAGTGGATTACAAATTGCCTTACTAATGAGTTTCTCACCTCCTGCCACAATAATTGAAGTAAGTGTTGCTGGCTGCATCTAGCAGTTGATATTTTTTACCAAGGTTTCATAAATGAAACTATGGGTACTCCAACTATCAATTAATATAGACACTTTTCTCTTTTTGATCATCCCTAGTAGCCTGATGGTTTTTGCTCTGTTGTTGCCCATCAATGCATAGATGGAGATTCCCATTATCTTCTCTAGTTCTCCTTTCTCCGCTTGATCCATTTTCGCCCATGGAGGTTCATCTAACTCCCTTCCACCTCTTTATCCACCAATATGAAATTGAGAATCTTATTTTTGCACACATGACCCCTACTATACTTTTCATCATATTTATAACATAATCCTAACTCTTTTTTTGTTTGGAAGTCAAACGGGGTGATATCTTTGAATTTCAATGGACTAGAGGATTTCTTTGGGTTTAGTTCGCTGTATGGTGTAGGTTTAGTTGGAGGTTCATTTGGACTAGGACTGGGGTGAGATCATTTTGTTCGGAAATATGCTTTGAAGGTTTTTAGACCTTTATTAAGGGCTGTGATGGAATTTTCTTGAAGTAAAGCAATCTCAAAAGCTTTGGCTAAGGTTGGGGGTTGCATAATTTTAACCATGGATTTGATCTCATCCTTCAAATTATTGATGAATATTGAAATATGGTAGGATTCTAGTAAGAGAGGTAGGGAAATCATCACTTGGGATTTCAATTCTTCAAACTATTCCTAATATTCTGTAATGGTTCCTCCTTGCCTTAGTTTGCTAAAGGTTTCTATCACTTCTTCAGCCATGTTTTTTTTGCAAATCTCTTTGGAAAACATGCCCCAATCAGTATTAGGATGGTTGGAGATAAAGCCATGGAACCATATGTCTGCCTTTCCTTTGAGATACATCTCAGCTATGCCCAACTTCATTTCATCCTCTACTTGATGGATATGGAAATACTTGCTTAACTTCCTCAGCTACTCTCTGGCCCCTTCCTCATTAAAATAAGTGAAGTCTATCTTGGGTAGTCTGGTCACCATCCTAGCTTCTTTGTTTCCGCTAGAATTACTGGAGGTAATTTTATTTCTTCTAGGGCTACCTCCATTGGTTTGAGATGGTGGCCTATATCATTCTACTTCTTTTTCTTTGTGATCAGCCTTACTCCCAATTAATTGAGCTAACATCAACGCCATAGAGTCTTGTGTACCCTTCATTTCTCCCCATCATTTGCTCCATCCGGTCTTGTCTAGTACAAACAACCTGCAGCAACTGGTCATTTGTTTTAACAGACACCCAAAGTTGATATTTCTTTGTCCAATCTCCTAAATTGCTCCTCATTTGATTTTCTTTTAGTTTTCTGACATACCCAGTTCATGTAACTGCTCTGATACCAATTTTTTATGGTTGAGCTTCAAATCTCAACCTGAGATACAATCAAACAAAATAATTAACCAAAAATTAAATAAAACTCAACACCCAATGGATTAATTGAAGCCATTAATGTTTACACTACGAAATGAAGACAATACATTCGAGAAGAAGAAAAAAAGAAAGAAAGAAAGAGATAATCCATAAGAGAAATTTCATATACCAACCTCTCTTTCCCTCGTTGGATCTGTTTCTAACAGATCCCAAAATTGTGCAACAAAGGAAACAAAACGTGTTTGTCAAAAATGTGTTTGTCCATTTACAATTTTAGACTCAAAAATCAAAACAACAGCGTATCTCATTTAACCAAACGACATCATCTGTGGATTCCAAAATCAGTTGGCCATTGGAATTTCTTCTTCTTCCTTGGTCGGGTACTCCTCTTCCCTTTTCCTTCCCAGCTCGATTGTTCATCTCTTCCTGCCATCACCATAACATATTCAAGGTTTTTGGATTTACAATTTGTGAACGCAAAGCTTTTCTTGGACATTTCACATGGTGTTGTTGGGCTAATTGAATGTGGCTGTTGTGTTTGGGAGGTGATTCCGTCGACAATAGGTGGTGGGTTGTATGATTTAGGGTTCTTGTAGATATTTGGCCCCTGCATGGTTTTGTGGGGCCAATCGAACGAGGGGGTTTGTTTAGGAGGTGATTTTGTCGACAATAGGTGAGGACTCTCATGATTAAGGTAGTGGTTCAGGGTGGAGTGAGGATGGCGGCTCCATAGGGCAGGTGGCAGTTTAGGGCTGGTTGAGAGAAAGAGGGGTTTTTTTTTTTTTTTTTTTTTTTTTAACGAGGTGTCCCAGCTTGCGCCAGACTATATCCTCGTCCCTGAACCTCCAGCCCCTCAGCTGCTCAGGGAGGTAAATCGCAGAATGTGCCCTTGTTGGTTCCCAGGTTCCCACATGGCTTTTACTCCTTCCTCAAAGGGAGCCTCCTCCATGGTGATTAATTCACCAATAATTCCTCCTTTATTGGATCAAAGGTTCCCACCAGGAATCGAACTCCCCACGCTTGGTTTCAGAGCCCCCCCAATGTGATTGTTCCGCCAATTTGGATGTGCCTTGGGGGGCTAGAGAAAGAGGGGTTTGTTCTAGTGGAGTGATGTAGTGTGGTCTAGTGTAGGGTGCTTTGGTGTGGATATATATGATTTTTAATAAAATATTATTGATACCTGATAAGGAATCGTGATAATTTTCCCTTGAATATGGCAAACGCTCTTTTCATAAATTCTTCAATATAATAGATTTATATATTAGGTAATTAATTAATATGGTATCAAAATCACTAAAATATTGAATTTAAGTCTAATTATTATTAATTTATGAAAATTATACGTGATAGACACTTGATCATGAGTCGGTGGAGTTTTGAGCATAAGCAAAATTGCTATTTTGCTTTAAGATAAGAATTTTAGATAATTTCTTGGATAAGTAAAGTTCATCATCAAAAAGATTCTCCAATGCATTCTATAAATTAGTATCTAGGCGGTATGCGAGTTGAAAGATAGTAGGTCTACATGAATTGATGTCTAATGAATAAACGCAAAACCCAAAAGTTATCTTCATTAGGTTTTCCAAGGACGTACTCGACTGAAATTTTAAAAAATTTTAGAAGTCCTTTTAAATTTAGTTCTCCCCAATTGAGATTTTCATGATTTTTTTTTAAAATTCATTAAAATATGTATCCCAACTGAAAATATTAACGAATTTAAATGAAATTCTTTAAAATTTAGGCATGCTTAATAATTCGTGGATTAATAAGAATTTTATTAATAAAGAGATTCAAAAGATTTTGATGATTGTCATGGATTCTATTGAAATCTATTCAAATTCACGAATTTCATTATAATCTTTTAAAATTCATTAAAATCTACGTTGAGTACAATATACAACTCAATAATATTGTATAGATATCTTTTTTTTTTTGAAAATAAAAATGATATTACATCTAAAATTGCATAGAAAACGTAAGTATACATTTTGCTTAAGTTAGCATGCTGAATAGAGTTTTTAAATCTTGTTGAAGCTCTAGACAATATCTATTTTTTTTCATTGCCACGTTAAACAAAGTCCCTAAATTGCATTGGAGACGAATATTTTGAAATATTGTTCATTTTGATTATGTGATTTTTTTTAGCAATTCATAATTACATTGGAGATTCTTTAATGACACTCTTTTAAAATTTCACTGTTTTTATTGAGATTGTTATGGATTATGTCGAAATCTATTCAAATTCACGAAATTCATTAAAATTTATAATCTTTTAAAACTCATTCAAATTTCAGTTGATGACGACATGGTAAAGGTCTTTTATTTTTTTTAAAATAAAAATAATATATATCTACAATTGAATAGAACAACTAATTATACATTTTGTCGAGTTAGTGTGTTGAATGGAGTTTCTAAATATAGATGAAGTTCTAAACAATATCTATTTATTTATCTATTTATTATTATTATTATTATTATTATTATTTATTTATTTATTTATTTATTTTTTAGGAGAGGGTAGCCACCCTAAATTGCATTGAAGATGAATATTTTAAAATATTGTTCTTTTAGATTAATTGATCATCTCTTTTTAGCAATTCACAGATACATTAGAGATTCTTCAATGTTGCTTGTTTAGAGCACCATCCAACATGCATATATGCAGAAATTTGTAATACAAATGTATCTTCTAAACACAATATCTTAGTATAACTTAACCTAATACTATATATAATTTCTCTTTTGTGTTAAGCTAATACTATATATATATATATATATACTTACACAAAGTAATGATTTTCTAAGTAACTTATATTAAGTATCGGTAACATGACACATTAATTAATTGGTGAATCATTAAATTCATGGGATCTACCATTACTTATTCACCAATAAATGATGTGACATATGTCATATATATATATATATATATATATATATATATATCCTTCGTTGATGATGGTACTAAGACGGACACCTACAAAAGTGGCAAGGATGTGCTCACTGTCTCAATCTCATGTTAAGAACTAGGAAGGGGGAGATCGATTGAAGAAATGATCAAAAGTTGTACCAATAACCTCCATTTATATAGAAACTTTCCTTGCTAACATGACGAACACTCAGTCGGGCTATAAGTATCATATATCATATCTATTTCACTCGATGCAATGATTCGATTTATGCTCCAAGTATTTAAAGAGGAAATGCATATTTTGTGAAGCCTAACATATTAAATATATTGTAAAAGTTATGCAAAGACAGTCTAAAGCTTGTATCTCACTTCGTGCTACTTTTGATTCATGCTCCAACTCATTAATGAAGAACGCATATTTGTTTTGAATCCAACATACCATATATCTTATGATTGTTATATATATGAAGACCAAAAATTAAAAATAAAAAATAATTATTTATTTATTTATTTATTCATTTTTATTTTATTTTTTGCCTTGAGCCGTTTAGATTCATGCTCCAACTAGTTAAAGAAAATCATATATCACTTCATGCTCCAGCTGATTATAGAAGCAACATGTGTTTTATCTAGTTTAACGTACTAATTATATTATATATAACTATACAGAGATGGACAAGAAGAATATTTGTCCATCAATAATGGAAATTACATTAGTCCAATGCAGCAGGATCCCTTATTTTCATGGGATTGTTTGAGAAAAAATTCAATAACAATTGATAAGGGCAGAGGTATTTGGTGTTCCCTCCAGTGAAGAATCGGGGCCTCGAAAGGTGTGTATGTGTGTTAATCATATTATCAATGTACAAGTTAGGAGCGGGACCGCGCATCAATTGAAAACCTAGAAAATTGTTTGGGATGCATAACCAATTAAGTTTCGAAAGGTTTAATAAAGTTTATCAGAATTGTCCATCAAAAATTTGGTACTGAAAGAAACTGACCACAAATGAATATTTCAAAACAACATATGGGCTCCATATGATAAAATCTTTATAATGTGTTTGTTGGTAAATTAGGGCAATGATTCGGCCAAAACCATCACTAAATCAACAATTTTTTGGCCATACCATAACCTCACCATAAAAGTCGGCTCAGTTCAGGTCGTTAATAATCACAAAAATAAATTATTTTTTTATAGGTCTAGCCGTTAAATTGGAAAAAAAAAACAATTTATGAAAAAAAGTCAATAGAAATAAAATCATAATACTAAGACAATTTAGCAAACAACATCCCAAATGAAAATCCAAACAATATCCCAATTTCGAAATGCTAAATCCAAATTTAATAAACAATATTATCAACATAACAATACTAAACAATATCCTTATTCTTTGATCCTTGTACTATAAAAATAAAAATAAAAATAAATAAATAAAATCAACATAATGAGCCGTAAATTTTGGGATAGACAGCTTATAATAGAAAGAATAATAAAAAGCTCAATTGTCCAATTATTATTATTTTTTTAATGGGTAATCGGTTCGGGGTGAGGAGACAGCGTAGATACCATAACGCCTTGCCCCCCTGAACTGAGTCATTAAAATCAAATACCATATTCAGCCAATTGTACCATTGGTTTGATTTTTTTCGCCCCATTCGGTTCAGTTAATCACGGTTTTCGATTTTAACAGTTTAAATTGCCATCTCTAAGTAAAAGCTAGTTTAAGTAAGAAAATGCAGAGAACAATTTTTGAAAGGACAATAATAATTATTGAGTCAAAAATTAACTTATAATTGGTGCTCTTTTTATATGCATTCCACTGACGTGTGTGTCACCAAATTTGTATCCCCATGGGGCCTAGACTATGCTTGTTCTTCATCACCTCATTACTTTTGGATCAGCCTTTTTCTTGATAATGCCTAATGAAAAAATCTTGATTGTGCGAAAATATATGATATTGCTTTGCAACTTTTACTGTCATTAGTTTTATAAATAATACACATTTTAGACTCTATTGAATCGCACAAGAGAGGCTCCCAAGAGATTTATTCTTGATTGTGGATGAGCATAAGCTCGTGGGCACGAAAATATATGTCAATGCTCTGTGAATTTTTGTTGTCAATAAACTTACAAAACAACCCTTGTTTTTAAGATGTTGGTTGCCAACTCTGAACTACGAACAAGCACTAAACAACACTTGTCTTAGATGAGGTTGGGTTGCCTATAAAGGCCCTCTAAGGATACTTGTCAATTATGAATGAACATGAGCTAGCATAGCATGTCCGATGAAGAATAAGTGTGGAGGAACTTATTTGGCATGTTTGAAATGTAAGATTGAATTAAATTTAGATTAGATTATTAATGTATTTTGTCTTGCTCAAGTCAATGCACCAAACGTTTCGCTAAGTTATGATATAAGTAGAGCATTCTAAACGTCACATCTTTCAATTTCAACATGTTAGTGATGGAACAAAGCCAATGTGTAGATAAGAAATTAAGGAATAAAAGCAAGGCTGCAGCTACAAAGAATGGGACAATACCGGCATTTTCTGGTAATCAAAGAAGAACAGGAGAAGCTAAAGTGGATTCCCTATGTTTTGTGCTATATCAGAAATAATTCCTATTCATAATGCATGATTGCTAGTCTACATCACATCCCTAAAGACGTGTTGTCATGACAATAAACTAAATTTTATTCTCAATAGGATATTTTCTCTACTTCACTCCATCACTACATCTATTAAAGAGTCAAATGCTATCAAATCGTTTTTATTCTATTAGGATCGAGACTTCACACAATAATGATAATTTCATTGCGATCTTATTTTCTTTGAAATATTTCAAGTTAGACCTCATAGTAAGCATTTAATATCAAAGCATATTCCTTCTTTGGAAGTTTAAGTTCAAATGAGGAATTCGATCCGTCGAAAATTGAAAAGAGCATTTGAATTCCAGGATTGAGGTTACTGATCAAATGAACCACTTTCTTGAGAAGTTTATTATGTCTTTCTTCTTTATTCTTATTTACTCGTGTACAGTCTAACTTACAGATTAAATCCTTCAGGACGACAAGCTTAGACAACCAGCTATATTATACCTTGCTGATCAATTGCTTCCCCGTATCTTTATTTTTTTTTATTTTTTTTCAAATGATACTTGTAAAAAGTGTTTTTCTTTATACAGTATGGAATTTACTTTAACTCCACGAGTGCAAGGCTCTCTCTCCCTTGAACTGGACGTTCATATTAATATACTTTGGTAGGAAGTAAAGCCAAACCACCCATTCAATTTCTGATAGTTAGCCTAAAAGTAAAAACCCCAATGCTTAATGGCTTCTTCAAAACGGAAAAAAAATGAACAAGAACAAGGCAAAATCCCAATTATGATTGCTGAATCTCAGCTTATTCCTAGTTTTGTACTAAATAAAGAACAAAGAAAAAACCAAGACAAAAGGATATATTTTAATTAACATATTTGCATTATCGCTAAATAATCTTCTGTGCGTGTTGATACAAGAAATACGCGACTCAAGCAAAATATAATATGTCGAAATGTTAGACAAACAAATGCTCTATAAAAGCACAAATGTCCCCAAAGTACCAGGAACAACAATAACAAAAGTACTATTAGAATAGGTTCAAACGGTATCAGGTTGAATTGAAACACGGCTGCTTTCGCCAAGTAAAGATGGTCGAGGACTTGGAATTTGCTCTATTTCTAGTCCTTTCCACTGGATATCGTGTTTTTTTGGGTTTTTATTTCCATCAATCGAGGGCTGTATGCCCTTTGAGACATACACGGACTATAAACAGACTTCATTTCCTCGTGTGGCGACTGGGTGGAATTTGTTCCTTTTGGGCTACAGGCTTGTCGTATCTCACCACGACTTCTTGTTATGATTGCATCAAGAATCTCACCACTATCAATATTGGAGACTTGTGCTTGTGCACTTTGATCCTGCGAATTTATATGAAGTCTATAACGTGAAAACATGACCAAATTCATTTAATATAGAACCCCATTAATGAAGTGTATTTTCTTCAACGTGTCATAGAAGAACTATACTCATTCTACGATGACAAGGAGTACCAACAGAGCGAATGAAATGCAGTTTCTTTAGCTTTTACATCGTACTCCCCATCTATGGAGAGGATAATTTAATTTTTGTGCACTTTTAGCTGGAGGTTAGGTTGAGCGTTTAGACTGTATTTTGTTTAATATTCATTATTAATTAAACAACCCACTATTTTTATTATTAGTATTATTATTTTAAATAGACCCCTGTTAATAAGCATAGAAAAAAATTTAGAAAACAAAATAATAGCAACTTACTTCAAAGGATAAGTTGTAAGTAATAGCAGGGGCTTCTTCATACTCTGCAACATCTAAGTCTTGTAAATGTGCTCCTTTGAAAAACTTAGGAAGTATATACTGTCGCACTGGGACGAGAAGCATAATCAACAAAGGGAAAAGAACACCGGCTATCGGAATCCATGTTATGCCAAAGCACAAGAGCAAGTAGATTGTTTGGAAGACGGTGAAGAGTGCAATTGTTTTAAAAGGTACTGTCTCCACAAAGGTAGCGTGATAATCCTCTAGCACCCTGAAAAAATTCAAGATTCGCAGCTCTTCAGATGTTTAACAAATACTAATAATAAAAAGAAAGGTAAATTAGAGAAAACTAAGCAAAATTGATCCTTCCTTTAATATCAAATAAATCATGATGGCATCTTAGAGCATGTTTGGCAAAGATTTTTCTAGCTTATAAGTTGGTCAAACATTATTTTTGACCATATATTCCTGAGGACCCACAACTTTTATCTAATTTTAGACCACACGTTCCTGAGTCCCATTGCTGCTGAGCACTTGAAAACTTAATCCAAGCAAGCACTTAAAGTTTCAAATTAAGCAATGAACAAAACTGCCATTTCAGTATTTGGGGGTGGGACGGCGTTTTTTGAGCTTAAACTCATTTATTAGACATTAGGTTCATAGCATGGGTTCAGAGCCAGCAACCTTTTTTTTTCGTGCAGCATTATAAATATCTCAGAACTGAATCTGAAGTGATAAGAAATTCAGTTAAAACACATCTTTCAGCCATGAATATGAAAATTTACATACTTGTATCTTCGACTTGGAACGGTGAAAAGCAATAACAGTCTCTCCCAGAATTGATTTCCAGGCAAACTTTCAATTGCCATGAAAGCAAAGTACCCCCAGAGGACTGAAGTCGGAATTTTTTTCAAAAGAGGCATAGCAGCAACACAGCTCCCAGACATTAATGCCTGAAGAAGATTGCTGAGGCGTTGTTCTTTAACTTGCACAGGTAAAAGATCGTCAATATCCTTATTGACATCAAAAACAGCCTCATCGATTGGTGCATCTATGTATCCGCTACTGTAGGCTCGTTGGATCGTGGAGTCTTTCAACTCCTTCATACCCTTATAAAAGCAATAAAATAAGAAGCATGTGAGTTTACACAGACACAAGTTAGTAGCCTGTCAAAAAGGGAAAATATTCGTGTGCATAGCATGTTTGACCAACCTCAAGCTTTTGTTTTCAGATTTTCAGTACGAATCTTCTTTTTCTTAAGAGTCTTTCAAGTTTACATTTTTCACTTTTAAGCTTAGCCAAACATGATGCTTATAAGTTAGTCCTAAATCAGAAATTACCAGAGCTCGTTGAGTTTGATAAACAAGTGGAGTCTGCATCTCATTATAAGCTTCTTGCATGCTCCTATATAACTGAGATAAATTCGCATTTTTCTTCATGCTGTTTCGAGCTGTCGATACAAGCTTATTTCGCAAAAGCTGTTTGAGAAAGAGGAAAATAAATGATAATATCGTTCTCGATAGGAAACAATAAAGAAAAGGCTGGTCTAATTTCTGATCTATACTCATGGTGAAAAAAGGGCATCATGATGGAATTGATTGGAAAAGGGGCAAAAATCATTTAGGCCAAATACAGAAAGAAAGAAATTTTTTGAAGAGAATCACTCGTATGAGGGGTATTTTCTTTTTTATTTTTTTGGTCGTGGAAGCAATATGAGAATCAAAACCTCCATATCCAGCCTTCACGCATATTACCTGATGTTTTAGAGTAGCCAAACTTTTTGTATGCATAGGAGATTGTGGAATAACTCCATTGGAAGGAGGGATGCCAATAAGGCCACATAATATTACCTGATCAGAACAGAGAACTACACTGATATTGAGAAGTAAAAGCTGCAATAAGCAGTTACTAGCTTATTGTACTAAGCCCCTGTTTGATTCCCTTTACTTTAATTTAATTTATTTCTTATACTCATTTTCAACCACTCATTTGTACAATAAAATATTTTACACGTAAACCCAAAACTTTTCCCTAATTTTTAACCACACATTCTTCAAAAAATACTATTCAAAACATAGTTTTTTTTTTTTTTTTTTTTTGTGGCAGGGAAAAAAGCTCCAATAATATATAGTAGAGGCACGTTCAGCATTTCCTGTCGAGTCATTAGCACTATATTCAACATTTACACAAAACAGATAAGCAAAATTCAGGGAAGAAAATGGAGAAAAATTAACCCCTTTTCCGACATTAAAAGAATATGATATAGTAGCACCTTTATGACCGTCCAGTTCGAGTATGCACCAGCAGACCATGGATTTGGGCTATATAGCCGCCTTGGTATCCCTCGTGGAACATCATTAGCCGGCATATAAGAAACAGCAGTCCACACAAGCACCATCAGTGGGACACCGTAGTCAGCAATAAATCCCCGAAGCCACCCTTCGAATTATAATCAACGGTCGTCAAATTGAGAAAATACAAATGAAAAAAGAAAGAAGGTTTAGTTCACAGCAAATAAGTTGACTTACTTACAACAATCAAATAGAAGAATATTAAAATGATATAACCACAATATGAATTTGAAAAACGAGAACTATTTCCTTCTTCCTTTCGTAATTGCTTTTTCTTCTTTCTAACTAGAGTTTCATGCACCTGCCCGTTAGTGCTTTGTGTGCGCTTTTTCATATATGTTTGTAGAACCTGTTCCATATCGCCAGGATCTAGCTTTTCGGCTCTTCAGTGCAGTAAGAAGAAGGCCAAAGGACAGAACTAATGCAAACATTCCATTTCCGAAGAGCCAGGAAGGTTGAAATGCAGTCTCCTTAGGATTTTCTCTCTTTGGAATCCCAAACTCCTCCACAACTCCCTATGAAAGAACTAGACTAATTTTAGAGTTGCTCAACAGTTCAGATGGCTGAAAAGAACCTTATATTATTGGACATAGAACTGCTAAGGTTTTAATTAAAGGAAAGAACCTAAGAAAAACCAATGGGCACGGATCATAAAATAGAAACTATTTTTGAAACAAATGGGAAGGGGCAGGAATTAGGACTCTAAGAGATAAACATAGCAAATTCAAAGCATTTATTTCCTGAACCTAGTGATTGATTCAGTAATTCTTTTATCAGCTAAAGCTACAAGAGTATAAAGGTTTTGAAAAAAATTTCAGGGAAGTCGATCGTCTAATAATTTTTTTGGAAATTTGTGAATATGCATAACAGTTGGTTTATTTTTGCAGAATCAGGATTCTATGGAAGATGGAAGTAAACAAAAGGAAAAGGACCAAAATTTTTATTCATACTCACACGAATTGCCTGCTGCATAAAGAGCATTGCAATCAAAAGACCAAACAATTCGCCAGCCAAGCGTGTAAATCGGTTGATAATAGAGCATGCACCCAAGATGGCCAGCAAGAAAAGCAAAAGGGCAGTCCATACGCACACCCTAAATATAAAAGTGTTAAATTCTATAATCAATATAAAATCATTTCATGTTCCATGAGTGTAAACTGTAAAGAGATTACCATCCTGTCCAGGCTAAAAATAGCTTCTCCCCCAAATCTTTTCGATCTTTAGCAAAATTGAACATGAATGTGTACATCAACACTGTTGGCTCAGCAACACCAAGTATGAGAAGTGGTTGTCCACCAATGATCGAGTGGATCACACCACAAAGTGCTGTTGATGCAAGTGTTTGCACTGCCGTCAAGGTTCCATCTGCAGTAGATGGATCATTTATTAGCACATCTTAGAAAATGAAATCTAAGAGGATAAGTAAAAACATGAGGGGGGAAAAAAACTTACTTGTATTTCTTTCCAGTTGCTCCCCAAAAGATATAACGGGAATTGCTGATGCAAAGAATATGTATGTTGTTGGAGCCAGGATCCTTCAAGGCAATACAGAGCTAGTAACTTGTACTTATCTATGTTAGTAATATAAACTAGAGGTAAAATATTCTGCACTTAATGTTCATTTTGGATACTGAGATACATTTTGGATGATACAACAAGTAAGATCATTGAATTCAACAATTATCACCCTTCGAGTTCTTCAAGTGAAGGACATAAGCATCTCCTAATATTTTATATTTGAGACAATCAAAATAATGAATATGAAATTACATTGAAGTACTGTGAAAATCACAAACCTGATACCTGCACGCAGGCCACCCCTCCAGTCTTGTTTATAGCATAGAAGCCTTCCTTTGAGATCATTTTTTATTCCACGAAAAGGAACAAATGTTTCTTCCATGATAACTCCAAATTATCAAAACAGGGGAGTTTCTGTATTCATTTATTAATTTATTTTTTTGAGTGTTTAAAGTGACACTAACTCAGGCACGAATTTGATGAGACTCAACAGGGCTATAAATATATTTGCATAAGCAAAGACTATTCATGAACTAAGCAAGCATTGATTCGTTTTCTATAAACTTTCGAAGATGCCCTAGAATAAAATCTTGTCAAGAATTCAAGAACATTACATTTCAATAGATATAGAAAAGCTCGTTAAAAAGAACAAAAGAATTGGTTAGCACTGAATCACAAACAGGTTAAGGATAGAATTCTTACTTTACTAGCCCACTTAGATTCCATAGGTGAAAGTGAAACAGTATTAATTTTGCAGAAAAGAATCTCATAATGATCAAGAATCATGATCGACGAAATAAAGAGATTCTTGCCATTTGCAAACTAATGCTAGACTTGATTAAAGCACGGATCCATCACTCAACCAAAAATAAATAAAATAAAATAAAATCCAATTTTCACCAAAATGCGATCAAACACTAACAAAATGCAAATGTGACGCCTTAAGATGAATTACAAGGTCGAAAATTATACAACAGACTTCAGAATTTTCACACTCCAGAAGTTAAAAAACCAAAACTTAGGGAGAACCCATTTTTCAGAGACTAATTTTTCCAGCTTCAGTACACGTCCAAGAAAATGGGCATCACAAAAACAAGAAAAAGAACAAGTAATCGGAAATATTAGGGGCAATCCATCATTCAGAATATGGAAATGAGAGATTTAAATTAGTTTTGAGCAAATGGGCATCAAAATGAGCAGAAAAAATATGACAAAGATTGCAGCTTTGTACAGTTACATTATAAGCAGAAACGGACACCTTTGACAAACAGTTTTTGTTATTATCGCAATGTACGCAAAAGAAACAAGAGAGAGTTGAAGAAAATATTTCAATTATAAGTAATTTTTTCTTAGACAAAGAAACTCTGCAGATACTAGGCACAATTGTTGTGATAGTGATGTGGTGAGTAAGCATAAATAACCCTTTCTGCTTCCCAAAACAGATAAGAAAACAAAAATATTAATAATTGAAGATGTTAAAATAGTAGAATTGTAGCTATATTTAGGAAGAAAATGTGGGTAATTTTAAATATTTGTACTCCACCGTCTTGCTATCTTGCAGACAAATGGAGAGACGTTGAGAGGAATTTTTTTTTTTTTACCGGGGCTTAGAAATTGTAGTTTTTAAATTGTTCACAAGTTAGTTTACCATTTATAAAGAAAAAATAAATGTTTTACTTCTTATAAGTTTCATGCTTTAAAAATATAAAAGTATAACACTTGTCTTACATTACATAATAATTTACATAAACATGATGTGATCAGATATGATTAAATCAGAATTTCTTTAATCAAATAAAAAAAAAAAAATTCCATACTCTCCTTTTACCATTCTAAAAAAAGGCTATGTTTTCAAAATGCTTGTGCCATGTCAACAAGGTAAACTCCTATATATTGGACTTGAACCGCAAGAAAGGCATGTCAAAATTAACTATCCTAATAGCATGTTTGGTAAGGATTTTAATCTAATTAACATCAATTTTTTGACTGTTATTTTAATATTCCAACCATCATTTTTGAATTTTTCTCTCACATGTAGGACTCACTTTATTTCTAATAATCAAAAAATCAATTAACAAAATCTCTACCAAACAAGCACTAATAGGGAGCTGATCGATCGACTAGCCATCCATATGCTGATCAACATTGAACAACTGGTGAGTGAGGGGCTGGTCACCCAACCCGTCACCCACATATCTTAATAGTTTCAAACTATCTCGAAGATTCACTCTACATTTTTTTCATAATGGACAAGGATATGCATCCCTCTACATTCTACAGTTAGAAATAAGACACGTTTTTTAAATGAATAATATTATTTAGCATCACTGTTACTATAACACCAATCTACGTAGTGTTCGATAATAGGTGAAATTAACAACCAATTTAAATGTCATATTAGTTCTACCTAGATTGATGTTAATATCAGTAATACTAAAAAACATTTTTCTTTCAAAATTCTTTGGCTATGTCATCAAGGTAAACTCCTATATATAGGATTTGAAAGATGGAGATATTCTCTCCTGGATTCATTATAACAGATTTCATCTTTCTCATTTTCTCTCTCTTTTTGTTGTAATAATTCTTATATCAAAAAGAAAATAGGGAAGAGCTCCCTGCCCATATTTCTGGTTCTCAAAGCACCAAGGAAGTACATTTCGCAGCTCCATTTACATTGATAACATCATCAATTATTTAATCAAGTTATGAAATACAATTTACATAAATGGCTCTTAGTAGTCAACATTGTATGTCAATAAACAAATTGAACTATTCATGTGAGTAAGAGTCCTCATAGCCTAGGTACAACGCCGTAATGATCAAGATGCACACTATTGCTAGAGGAACGCATGTCCTTGTCCATTATAGAAAATATATAGTGAATCTCAGAGATAGTTTAAAGCTATAAGGAAATATGGGTGATGGGGTGGGTAAGTGAGGAATGGCTCGATCCCTCACTCTCCAGTTGTTCAACGTCGATCAGCAGATAGATGGCTAGTTGATCAACCAATCTTCTATTTTTAGATTTGTCAATTTGACCTGCCTATTGTGTGAGGTCACTTTGTAATCTTGACATCTTAATTCATCAATATCAAGTTTCAAGTGTCTTCAAAATATATGATTATTCACCAAATAATTATTGTCCTGAAGTGTTTTCACCTAAAAGAATCCCCAAAAAACTCTTCTACTTTAACTGAACTTGCTTAGACATCTACATATCGTATTAGTTGAGGAATAATGGAATCTGATTATATATTTCCATGTAGATATTCAAATATTGTCTTTCAACAGCAAAATAATAAAAATGAAAGTCTATTAAAAAATCTATTTCATTAAAAAAAAATTATAGAGTAATGAAATAACAAAGATCAGGGCTCTCACCAAGATCGGACCCTAGACAATCGCCTACCCCACCTATAGTTGGACCAACCGTGAGCATATATAGTTTTAGGTAAAACTTTGAACATAGTGTTTTTTTTGAAGAATGTGTGATTAAAAAATAAAAAAAAATTAGGTTTATATAAAAAATTATTTTATTAGAAGAATACGTTATTGAAAATAAATTTGGAGGAAATAAATTATGAAATAATGAGGCTCAAAGAGGGGCTTAATATTCTCTTGGTATCTTTACCAAACAAGGCATCGAAGGACAGTTAATGGTTCCATTACTTTCAAAGTAATTTTATTTGCAGTCGCACGCTGTTGTAGTCGTCTTATCTGACATACACGTGGTAGTTAGTGATTTGATACATTAATATGATAGTTTTTTATTAATTTATGTAACAAATTACTAATCGCCACATGTATGTTATGTAGGACGATTGCGATTGCGATTGCAAATAGCATTATTCTTACTTTTGTCTCAAAACAATTATTACTTGAAAGTCGCGGCCTGTTATCATCATCCATGCTTGGTAGTTGATAATATTATATATAGTAGATACAGCTCATCTTTCAACTTTCGTAAAATAAACATAAAAGTTAATGGAAAAATAAGATTACGATTCTTCCAAGATTTTTCTTTATTTTCTCATAAAAGTAATCTTATCTAATTATATTTACTACATGCAACTTTCTCTCTCCAATAGTAGAAGTGGGATGATTTTCTTGAATTAATTTTCTTACAAAGACGCATGCATGAAACCTCTCATGCTTAACCACAAGTTTTGGTTGCTTTCTTTTAGAAGGATTACGAGCTTTTTTTGGGGCCCGAGGCGAACAAAAGCTCGCCCAAAAATTTTAGGCACGACTAGGCCTTTTTCTATCTTTCTCTCTCTCTTTTTTTTAAATATATATATAATTTAAGCTACTGCCTTTTTTAAGGCAGTTTTTGCTGCCTTTTAGGCAACGAACTACTGCCTTTCAAGGCAGCATTTTACTGCCTATATATATATATATATATATATATATATAAAGGCTCAGTGGATTTTTAGACCATAAATAACATTAATAATGATAAAGACATTTTTTTCAGCATAAAACACCATTCAAGCCTAGATAGAACTTTTAGAGAGTCGGGGAAAGAGTTTGGATTCACCAATTCTCTTTATAGAATTGTAAATTTTGCTGTGTGGGAGGAGGCTTATGCTCGACCTACATAGATACAGAACTGGGAGAGTAAAAATAATTTGAAAGAATAAATGGGGGAGATAATATCTCCATTACATAAGATCCGATGTGCACTATGAAAATAGTATAAAGTTGAGAAAGTATAATAATGATAAAGATATTTTTAAAAAAAAATAAAATTGAAAACCCTCTTTTTGTGGGTTGTTCAATTAGGTTTCTTGACTACGACTTTGTATAAATGTATCTAATCAATTGTATGAACTTGCCACTACTTAAATGGAGTTGTAGAAAAGTCATTGGATTTGGATGGAGTGGAACAAATCGTGACATGGAGTACACAATGTCCATTTGATAGAAGGGAGATATTAGGTTTTGCTTAATTTAGAGTCGAATATATATAATTTAAATTATATATTAAGGACATATATAGTATTGAATTAATTTATTATTTTTATTATTTTTTAAGAAACACTTTCACGTTTGTTTAATATGTCAAAAAAACACTCGGGAGACTTAGGCATGTATTGGGATGTGATGCCATATTTTCTTGGTGGTCCAGCCTACTTGGGGTTATAATGATAAATGGTTAAAAATACAGATACTATTTGAAACCCTTGCCTAATACGCATTGTGTTGGACTCCTTATGATCCTGCCCAAACTTGATAATATTTACGTGTGTCGTTCTGGTCCCTCAGATCTCCTAAACCTAATATCTACGGTGATGACCTTGCCTATATATTCTTGATCTAAGACTTTTGCCCTACTTGGTTTTTCATTTTCTCGTGTCTTTTGCGGTGCTTCTTTGAGGGGCTTTTGAGTCTCTCTTCTTCTTTGAGACAATGTGTCTCTGCCTTTTATTTTTTTCGTGAAACTTGTTTTTTAGCAATTAAACTTTTGGTTTTCTGGCAATTTGCAAGTAAGGAGTCTTGGTGATTCTTCGATTTGAACTGGAAAGATTTTTCTGTTAAGTTTGGAGATTCTTTGGAACCATTGTAATGACTGCCTCTGTATTTGTTTAGGGCTGTGGTTTTTTGTGAGTTTATACACTTTGTACAGACAGGTACAAGGTTAATCTTGAGCCCAGTCGATGAGAACTTGATGCCTTTGTGTGTAGCCTGTGTTATGTAATCTTAGTGTTGATTTTGGGTCTTTTGTAACAGCATGCAAATAGAATACCACATATTCGAGATGGTTAATTTCATTGGCGATCACTGTAATTTTACCCAGTTTTTAATTGGATTTCTATACTTCAATTTGTGTTAGTTGGTTCAATATATTTTAATTTTGTATCAATTGAAGATTTTGTTTTGCACATTAGACTCGTGGATGAAAACCACCAAAATAGTAAATTTTGCGATAGTATTGTAGAAAAAGAGATATTAGATTTTCGTTTTACTTTAGAGTCTAAACATTGTTAATCTTAATTATATGTATCATCCCCCAGCCCCCAACCTAGCTGGATTTGCATGACACAATTTAATTTAAAAAATGCAACATGTTGATGTTAGAATTAAATTATTCTTGATAATACATCACAATATAAAATAATATAGATTAATGGAAAGTGGAATGCCCATTTTAGAAAGGAGGAGGTCCACCGAGTAATCACTAAAATTAGGTATGTGAATAAAATAAGATAAAAGAGATTATAAATTACATAGAAAATCGCTTTTAATCAAGTTGCTATCGTTTTGTTTTAGTGGGTCGATAGTACGGATTTTTGGTTTTTTTCGGCCCCCTACTTGTTATTATTATAAATAAGAGGTGACATTGCATTAATATGTTTGAAACAATGTTTCGTATAACATCGACTATGTCGATCACTGTAACATGCGTGTTGTCTAAGTCACAATCG